GCGTCTTCGCCAACCATAGACTTACCTGCAAGCAGCTCAACTACTACCTGGCTGTATTGCTGGCCACATGCATGTGCACAAACATGTACATGGTGTCACCTGCATCCTGCTCCTCCCAGCCCCAAGTAGCCCTTGCAGGCTGGAACTCTGCCAGCCTGCAAGGGGAAACCATGGTTTCCTGCATTTTTCTCCTTAAAGGAGAAATTCTATGTTTTTCTGCAGTAAACAGAAAACCTGGATCCCTGGTTATTAGTAACTAACCACTTCAAAATAATATAAAGGTCAGAAGCTAAATGTGGGGTTTGTTTATATTAAATTTATTGAATCCAATATGGAGCATTTACTCATAAAAGTAGCCATTATTTGGATTTGCTTCTCTCCAAACACACATGTAATCCTTATTAAAAGTAATAGGAAATGTGTGCGATTCAAAGAGTAGATCTGTTTCAGCAGGAATTTGTCGTATGGAAAACATTCAAAACTTTCTCTGCATTGCAACTTTTGACATGGGCTGCCTTCACAACTAATATATGCATCTTGCCCTCTAGCACAGGGACAGGCAAAATCTAGCTCACAGGTTGGATCCAGTCAGGAGTAAATGCCATTTCCCAGCCTTCCTGCACATGGTTGGGGCCAGTCTCCATGGAGACCCCAGCTGCAGTTGTGCAGGAAAGCTCAAGGCTGGGGTTGCCATGGAGACCAGCCTCAGCCACACTGGCAGTGCCTGTGGCAGAGCTGGGTAGGGGGCTGCTCCAGAGCTGCTGGGAACTTGCGATGGGGGTAGCTTGCTCCAGAGCCAGGGTAGACCTGTGATCCGTAGCCTGCATGCTCCAGGCAGGAGGGCAGAAGCAGGGGATTGCAGCTCTGCCCCTGCTCTAGACCAGGCTGTCACTGCTGCAAGGAGCTTGAGTAGAGCCGCAATCCCCTGTTTTCATGCCTCTGCCTAGGGTGTGCAGGCTACAGATGGCGGCTCTGCCTTGGCTCCGGAGCAAGCTGATCCCATTGTAAGATCCAAGCAGCTCTCTGCCCTGGGCTGTGGCTGCATCTGTGGCTGTGGCTGGTCTCCATGGCAACCCCAGCCTTGAGCTTTCCTGCGCAGCTGTGGTGGGGGTCTCCATGGATACCAGCCTCAGCCATGAGAGTGGGGGCTGCTGCTGGGAAATGGAGTTTGGCTGCTGGCCAGATCTGCCATTTTACCCATCCCTGCTCTAGCAGAATCCAGAAGGTTAGGTTCCCATTCCCTGAGAATAGAATCCAAAAAAGCCACCATACTGATCATTTAAAGATTTGCCTAAGCCTAATGACAATTGGAAAGTAAAATTAAAGTTCACCAGTTTCTGTAGCCAGTGGAGGTGATGTGGTTAGTATCATGTCTGGCTGTCTTTAAGTCCTTATCCTGAATGACAAAGTACCCGACTGCAGCTGGATCAGGTAGGAATGGTCTTTGGCATGAGTCCAGAGCAGAACTTGGACTCCCACCTGTGGACCCATAACAAGAATGGACCCTTAACCACTCCGCCATCCAGTCCTAAGCATTTAATTAACCAATAAAAAATGCTATTTTATATGAAATTATATATGTCAAGAAGAGTTAGGGATTAATTCTCTGACTCCGATTCACAGCCGTGAAGTCTCCCTTGGAGCTAGGCAACTAAGATTACCCTTTCTTACAAAACAGTGTGGGTACAACTGCCATCTGTCCCTTATTCACTAGCTTTATGGTCATTGTACTCACCCAGTATGTGGGAGACCCAGCTCCCTGCTCTGCCTGTGGGAATCTGAATACACATCACTGCTTCCCAGGAAAATGACATAATTATTAGGCTACAGGATGTTTCAGGGTGGCTCTTGATTTTTCCTGTTGTAACTATTCCACTTTACATACCAACTAAAAATTCATTGGGTCAGGTGATAGTGGGAGCATCTACACATGTGCTGGACTGTGCAGTTGTTACTGTGCAGTCATTTAGTTACTGCACAGTCCTGGTGCCTCACTGGTAGTTTGACGCTACTGCACAGTAGGATCGGCATCATTGCTTGTTGCTACAGCAATGTAGCATCTTGTGTAAGCATGCTGTATGTGTGTGCACATGCGGGCATGTTCATATGTGACTACATCCTAGTACAGTGATTCTTAATTAGGGTGCTGCAACCTATACATGATTCACATCTGCATGATTCACAAGATAAACCTAAGATTTCAAATAAAACATTCTGACCTGTTAGGGTTTTTATGAGTTCACTGGAACAGAAATATTCCTCTATTGTTTTTCATAGTAAAAAATGAGTGAAAGCTAAAAGAGCTGGCTAAGAATCCAAAAAAAGTTGAAAACCACTGTCCTAGTAGTTAGTTCTGTAACATGCAGGTTAGGGGCTATATAGAGACTGTAAGACCTAATACAAAACTCAGTCCAAAGGGTTGCTTTAAGACTGCTGCATCATTTCATATGTAAATCAGACAGCCCTGGAGATCTACCCCTGTCTGATCACTGGTACCTTGAATCTTATCAGTGCTTCATGCTATATCCCTAGGTTTTCCTCATTGTCCCCAATATGCTTTCCTACATGAGGGCTCATGAGGAATTTCCCTGGAGGTAACCTGTGGCTATCTTAGTCTGATCCTAAAGTGGGGAACTCCCTCTCAGCTTAATCAGGGCTTTTAAGAGCCTCCTGTGACCCTTTACCTGGCATAAAGGGACAAGAGCTGGGGAGAAGATCTCGCCCAAATACCTAGGTGATGGTAAAACTAAACTGTTATCAACTTCCTATAAGTGTCCAAATAAGTTACAAGTACCAAATGTAAACGTAAAATATCATTTTCCCTCGGTTCCTAGGGCTGTTCTTGCAGCCTAAGCAATTCAAGCTAAGCTAAGAAAGCAGCTGAATAAAAAAGGAGCAAACAGCTTTCACTGCAGCAGTAAACTGCATATTCAGTCTTAGATTAATTTAAATTAGGCACTCTAAGATTCTTCTCTTGCCATCTTTCTTCATGTGGAATTGTCCTTTTAGTCAAACTTTCCTTTTTTAATAAAAGAAAATACAGCTTGCATTTTTTCATTTTATGTAAACTGCAGCTACATAAAGAGCCCTTTTTTTTTTTTAGTACTTTGTGTGCAGTTGCATCAGATACAGCCCAGTGGCGTAGTAATGCCTGGCTGTATGGAGAACTGGAGTTATAAGAACCAGTTGTTCAGTTTCTGTGGACTCACTGTTAACCATTTTTTCTTTTACAGAGTCTCACACTTCTAACACAGTTTGTTCTGTAACTGTTAGTGGGGAAAAGATGCCTAACATGTCTGCTGCAACACAACTTCAGGTAAGTTTGTTTCCCCCCCGGTATTCTAATGTATTAAGACTTTTTTTATCTGGAGAAAAGTATACATTTAGAGCTAACTGGGAAAAATAAATGAGATTGTGGTAATATAAATAACATTAATTTTTCTTGACATTTCAGGTTCTGCACTCAGCTCTTTTCACATTTGATTTAATAGAAAGTGTTCTTGCCCGAGTTGAAGAACTCATTGAAGTGAAAATTAAAGCTGTGACAGATGAAAATATTGGGGTCAAATGAAGAATTTCTCCCTCTAAATTCTAATGATCCTTTCACTTTTGCAATACATGAAGACATTGGTCATTGTGATTTTACTTGAAAAGAATGTTACCAGCTTTAAAGAAGACTGTTGAGAGTAATTTATATTGACTGCTATAGGAACTGCAGCTTACTGCCTTTTATGATTTTTTTTTTTTTTAGTTTTCTGTAATATGGAGCTAGACCATCTACTTTTTTTTTAAATCAAGTTATACTCTGGCATTAGTACAGTTTTGCTAACATTTAGAGACTGAACCTGCTTGGCAGATGATATTTGTATTTTGTTAACCTTTGAAAATGAGAAGATTCTTTGTTTGTTTCCCCAGGGGGAGGGGCGGGCTGTTTGTTCTTTTTGTGCATAGAAGTGTTGTTGTATTTGCATTACCTAGAACCTGTTAGATAATATTGATTGACTTGTGTGTGTATTACAAAGGTATTTGTAAAGTGTTTTCAGATCCACAGGTAAAAAGTACTATATAAATGCTATATATTATTATCCCTGTTACTGATATGGGCAACCAGCCTTCTAGAATACTGAAAACTTGGCTATAAATCAGGACTACCTACACTGGTTATCAAAATAGGAATGAAGACAAGTGGAAAACAATCTTAGAGCAAATAAGATAAATTTAGAACTTTTCAATCAGTGGTAATAGACATTTACATCACAGTACGTACAGTTTTAGTAAATAAAAACAAGAGTAGATTTCCCTGTATAATTAACTTGTAATGTATAAGATGGTCTTAATAATATACGCATGTTAGAACCTGTGAGATTTCGCCCAAAGATGTTTAAGGACTTGAAAGTAATAGATGAGTGCTATCAAACTAAACGTTTTTTATTTTTTAGTACAATCGCACTGAACAGAAAACCCCAAAATCAACCGCCAGAGTTTAAAATAAGAAAAATGTCCTTTTTCTTTAAGACAGTAAACTTGGTAAAAATACTCTGGTTTGCATTGAATAAAAAACTACAGGCACGGACACGAGCACGTTGGAGCAGACTCTATTAGTTGAGTCTGCTGGAACATGGTAATTACTGCGCTCCAACAGCCTGCCACATCTCATGCATCAGACTATACTTCAAAATGGCAGTGGGGATACTTGAACTAAAGCTTGTTGAACAAACTTTAGTTTAAGCGCCCCCACCACCACTTTAAAGCATAGGGACACTGATCTACGAGACACAGCAGAGTTTTAATTAGAGCAGCTCTTGGAGCTGCTCTAATTAAAGCACAGGCCCTTTCACCCCCAGGGCACATGTAAAAGTGCCCTACATATTTTCAACCCAGAAGCATTGTATGCTTTTTAACGTTTAAATTGACACTTATTTTTCTGCTCTGACGTTGTATTTTTAATAGAAAAGGGAGCATTTGTATCTTGTTCAGAAATATAACTACATAAATTCTGAATAGAAATAATGATGCTAAATTAGTTGCAGTCCAACTGGATTTGATGAAGCATTTTCCAAACTGAACTCTGTTCTATAATCTGAGCTTTTGCTGCCATCATTCTGCAGCGAATATTGTCTACATGTGGTTTAGAGGTGGTCTGAAAGGAAAAAGTAAATGCCTTAATTAGAATAAAACAGCAAGGGGAGAGTAAAGAAATACTTCAAAATGTAAAAGTACATATATTGAGACTGGGACTACATTTTCAGAATTTTTGGCAGTAGAGTAAGTAGGTAAGTCTGTCGAGGTGCTAGGTTTATTCTAACATAGGCATGAGACAGCTCTTGTTGCTGCCTGACTGTGCCTTCTAATTTGGATTAAGGAAGGGTGGCATAAGAGTGTTTATGTGGGTACTTCTCCATCTGGGAGTACTCTTAAAGTTGTCTTCGGGTAGCCAATTAAGTTGGCCTTCTAAATGCTTAGCACTGATCAAGCTAAGGGGCAAGAATCTGGCTTTAAGATTTAGAATCACATTTCAATAATCATACTATATTTACCTGAATGCAAGATGAGGTTCCCCCCAGTTAGCATGAGAACAATGCCCCTCATTTTATAATCGCATGCACGGAAATCTCATTAAATACATTATCTATCTGTAAATTTCTGCCAAAAGCAGCATGTGCTCAGCAATGGGAACTAACTATGAAGTGGACTGAATGTAGCCAACACTGAGCATGACCACAAAACACATGGCCCACACTGGGCAAACATGCTGATGGGAACCTACCAGGAGAATAGGTTAGTATAGCCCATCTTGAATATGACATACAATAGTGCCCATTAAGCAAAGTCCTCCTCACCACTAACTCTTTCAAGTCTTGGTGAGCCACAACATTTTGTACAGTTCACCCAGAATTTCTGTGTTGCCTCCTCTCTCAGCCTGGCACACATGATTAGTGTGGCCCCACGCTCCAAGAGGTGAAGCTGGACCAGGTTACCCTGCATCTCCTCTGCACATAAATTGTTGGACCATGTCAGCACTTGTGACAAGAACATTTGGTTCCAGTCATGAGTGGAAGCTAATTAGCACATGGATCATTTGTGGGGAGTATCTGGAGAATGCAGACACACTAAGTAGTGTTGAGCTATGGCCTCTAGTGAGGCCCAGCCCAATTAACTATATGGTAAATCATGAGCCTTTAGCTTTGAACTAATATACATCATTTATAACATGAAACTGGGATGTTAATGTAGATCAAATGTAGCGTTTAAGTTAAAATTTAAAAGATCAGCAGCAGGCCTGATTTTATTTAAGACTTCTTAATTAACTTTGAATTGTTGTTGAAAATGGGAACTGATTGTACCAGTGGTTCCCAACCTTCAGCCTGTGAGGCCAGATCCAATGCACAGGGTTAGGGTAGGATGCAGATCTGGCAAATGAGTTTGGGGTGTGCATGGTGTTGAGCTGATGCACGTGGTCAAATCTGGCACATGGTTAAATATGGCATGTGTGCTTAGGCCAACGCAGCTGATGGTGCCCGTGGATTGATGCTGTGGACTGGCCCTGTGCCACTTGCCTGGCCTGCAGGGCCAGAAGGTTGAGCATCACTGGATTGTACAATAGGAGATAGAGAAGTACTGTGGTCAGCATTTAAATAGCATACAGCAGTCACTGTTGTAAATAAGATACTACAGATAGTTTTATGGATTCTAAAATAGGAAATAACTGCAAACAATTCTAATTTGGAAAATACTGATTATTTTACATGGAGCCTTTTATAAAAAGGATAACATGCAAGCTAGTATCAGATCCTAACACTTAATCATGTACTTTTACTATTAATTTTTAGTGTATTATTGGAGTACTGTTCATATGATTGTTGTTGGCATTGATTCATTATTTCCATAGAGAAAAATGATTGGTAAGGATTTATATAACTCTTGTATGTGTGTTCATCCTTTCAGAGAAAATTCATGTTTACATAAACATGCAGGATATATGGCAGGCAGTTGCACAGATAAAAAGGATATAAACAGCACTATTGCACTTGTTAGGCTTTAGAATTAATATTAAAAGAATTAAAATTGAAATTCACAAGTTACAAAATTTTTCATTGGAAAAAAATGCAGACTTCAAAAGGCATTCAATATTTAGATCTCATTTGGATTGTATACTGTTTTTTTCCCTAGTAAATAAATAGAACCACTTCTGACTTAGGGTGTACAAGGGCAAAATTAGGTCCCAATGTTTTCATTCATCTTTATCCATGCTTAATAGATTCATAGATGCTAGGGTCAGAAGGGACCTCAACAGATCATTGAGTTCGACCCCCTGCCCTGGGTAGGAAAGAGTGCTGGGGTCAGATGACCCCAGCCAGATGCCTATCCAGCCTTCTCTTAAAGACCCCCAAGGTAGGGGAGAGCACCGCCTCCCTTGGAAGTCCATTCCAAGATTTGGCCGCCCTCACCGTGAAGAAGTTTTTCCTGATGTCTGGCTTAAATCTGTTCTCTGTCAGTTTGAGACCATTGCTCCTTGTTACCCCAAGAGGCGCCTTGGTGAACAGAGCATCTCTGGTTATTTGCTGCACCTTGCTAATGAATTTGAATTTGGAGGGCCACAGGATCACTTCTCAGCCTTCTCTTGCGGAGGCTGAAGAGGTCCGGTTCCCTTAGTCTGTTCTCATAGGGCTGGACCTGTAAACCCTTAACCAGATGAGTGGCCCTCCTCTGGACCTTCTCGAGGTTATCCACATCCTTGTTAAAGTATGGCACCCAAAATTGGACACAGTACTCAAACTGCAGTCTGACCAATGCCACACAGAGGGGAAGTATCACCTTGGTTCAATTTGTCATTCATCTGCTGATGCATGATAAAGTGTGGTTAGCTTTGCTGATGATTTTGCCACACTGACGACTCATGTTCATCTTGGAGACCACTATGACTCCAAGATCCCTTTCTGCTTCTGTGCTGCTGAGTGGGTCATTCCCCAGCCAGTAAGTGTGCTGGATATTTTTATGCCCTAGGTGCAGCACTATGCATTTGTCCTTGTTGTACTGCATCCTATTGTGTTCTGCCCACTTATCCAACCTGTCCAGGCCTGCCTGCTATCGTTCCCTACCCTCCAGAGTGTTCACTTCCCCCCACAATTTAGTATCATCTGCAGAGTTGGAGAAAGTACACTACATGCCCACATAAGACCTTTTAAAGCTACCACTAACAATGGTTTAAACCAGAGGTTGGCAACCTTTGTCTTGCCAAATCATTTAATCTGGCCTGCAAAGCTGATATATTATTGGCAGGATTCAGCGGGGGAAGTAGTAGCCCAGCTAGAAGCGCAGCAGCAGTGATTTGGTGGGCTGGGAGGAGTAGCAAGCCACAAGCAGCAGCCTACCTTCAGATCCATTGATTTGGCCTGCCATTCCTGAACTGGGTTGCCAATGCCTGATTTAAATCTTTAATATTTACACAACTGAAACATCCAGCTTCAACTAATATTCCTGGTATGATAGATGTTGTATGAACTTTGATCACTGTGATGGTAAGGCACAAACACAGTTACAGACAAAAATTAGCTTTGTAGGTTCCTGCTTTTTTGGTTAATATGTTTTTAAAACACTTTTTATGAAATAATGTTTGTATGTCAGTAGACTTACCTTGGCTATAGTTAGCATGAGCCGAACAGTTTCAGAAGCATTATGGACTGGAATTATCCGTAAATTACTGCCCAGGAATCTACACATGAGAAAAAAAATAGGATTATTTTTAAGATGTCTATTTACTGTACATTACAGCATAGGGCTAAAAAATGTCACATTGTAATGTGGTGGTGAATAGGTGGTAGAAGAATGCAGAGAATTGTTTTAAAGACAAATGAAAGGTTGATACTAGTTATACACCCTTTTCCCTGTATATATTCACTCTTATTATAGTATTCTGGGTTTGTGTCAGAGAGAAACTCCATTCCATCTCTGAAGAGCTTAGCAAGAGCTCCAAGTACCCTTTCCTTCTCTTAGGGCAAATCTTCCTCAACAAGCACAAACCCAGAGAGGACTGAACTTCTTAAGAATTCTTCTGCTCTGCCAGTTGCAGAAGAATCGCAGTTTACTGGTAATGTTCAAAAAGCCAGCGGACAGTTAGATTTGTGGAGGCTGACAACAGAGCACAGTAAGGTGTCAGACAACACTAAGCAAAAAGAATAGTTCAGAATCTGAACTGTAGTATTACTGCAGACAACCATCCAGACCTAACATTACATGTAGGTTCCACACAGTTAAAATAACAGAATAATCCCAACAGCCTGTCAAGATTATAGAGTGAAATTCTTAAAATACAATGCCTAATGTCTGAAACTATATTGCTCCCATAGCTATTGTATTGAAAGTCCAGTTTGGTTGTCTTATATGTTGAAAATGATCTAGCAGTTATATTAGTAGGCCTGTGTGAAACAGCTATATTTCGTTTCAGTTTCAGATTCAGCCATTTTGGAGGACAATGATTCCTTTTGGTGTTGCGGATTACTGTTATGTTTCGATTTGGCTGAATCTGTTTCAGAGTTTTGATATTGGTTTGAAGATTCAGATTGGCTGGGGAAAGGCAGGCACATCCAAGTAGCTGCAGGTTCTCCTGTGGCTCCTCCGGCTGTGCCTGCCTCTGCCCCGGCAGGCAACAACAACAAAAAAAAGCCCCACACTCACCGGCTGCAGCAGCGGTGGTCAGGGCCTCTGAGGGCTCGTGGTAGAGCCCCTCCACACAGTGGGGGGCAGTGGGGATCACATGCCCACTTGGCATCTGGGTGGCAGTTGTCATATCGTGTGGGTGCAGCAGGGCTTGGTAGGGTGTCGTGCAGTGTCTGGGAGCTGGGGCAGGTCCAGCAGTCCCTCTCCTCTGGGTCAGGGCAGGCTGGCATAGCCCAGCACAGGAAACTAAGGGTGAGGCCAGGGCCATGCAGTGAAGAGGCTGGAGGGGGGCACCTGTGCAAGCACATGCTGCAGCAGGGGGGGAGGCGGAGGGGTGGGGCACATGGTGCCCTCATGGTACATCCATGTAGCCCACAGCCCAGGATCCTATGACTCACGCTGCTGTGCTAATGACCCAGACTGGCCTGTGGGGTGCACAGCCCCCTGCTTGGACAGCTTTGCTGTAAGGCAGGGGTGGGCAAAATGCGGCCCAGGGGCCGGATGTGGCCTGCAGGCCCCCCTCAGAATTAAGAAAATTAATACTTATTTGCCCTTGGCTGCTTGTCATGCAGCCCTCAATGGCTTGCCAAAACTCAGTAAGCAGCCCTCTGCTCTAAATAATTGCCCACCCCTGCTGTAAGGGAAGAATAGCAGGAGCCCCAGCCACAGTAAGATACAGTATATTGAACTAGGTGGACTTGTAGTATGATCCAGTATAAGACATTCTTTCTATTACTGTGGCAAAGCAATAAGTGCTGAAGCCTAAGAGTAGGTGCCTGTGTAACCAAATTGGATCCATCCCTAAGTGACTATTTCTATCGAATACAGTAAACAATGGTTTATAACAGCAACATTGTATATGTTTGATATCATAAATATCCCTCGTTTAACAATTACTTGAATTGGCAAATGTGACATTTTCACAAAGCTGAATGTTAGTGAGTTACACCCACCTAAAACCATTTGTAAATTGCTAATTCTCAATCTATTTTTGGATCATTGCCATCAGCTGAATACTACATACTTGCTATGTACTTGATAAACTTTTAAGACTTCCCATGCAAATTTATGGAATACTCGCAAATACTTAATAAAAGCCATACATTTCACTCTATACATTTTGCCACTCAGCAGTAATTGACAGTGTGCTGTGACTTAGAGGTGCTAGTTTCTGGAAGATAAAGATCAAAGACACCATTAAAGTAGTCATTCATTTGACGTAAAGAGGAAAACAAACTGAAGTTGGTCTACTGTATCCATCAGAAATTGGCTGTAACTGGGAGAACTGTGTAGCATGGTATTTGATATTATTCCTAGCAGCTATAAACTCAAATTTAACTGACTCTTCAGGCTTCACTGGAAATTGTGTCAAAGACGTTTTAAAATTATTTTTTCTCTTTTAGTATAAAAGAAAGCTGATAGTTCAATTATTGGAGTATATATGTTTGCTTTACATAACTGGATTGGAAGAGCTGGTGAAAAATATTTGTTAAGCTTTCTCTATTCAGAAAAAAAATATTCTGGTACAAAGTCAGTTTTATAATTAATATTAAAAAAAAGATGCTGGCAGAAATATTTTAGTATAAAAGCAGAGTTTTCCATCTATATGATATGCCTAGGGAAAAGAAATATTACCTAGCACTGAAATGAATGAAGAGGATGTTGTTTGTTGTTTTCAGGAGTGTTCCATGTTGTCAAGTTGACTATCGTATGTCAAATACATTGAGATACCGTTCTTTTGCACATTCTTTGTTAATAAGACAAGTCAATGTTGCAGATTTTATCCTTTGGCTAATTTTCCACTGGATGAGTAAAATCAAAGTCCCTTGCAAATAGGATCCCTGGGCCAATATAATTATACTTTATTTTATTTTAGCAATAAAAAATAGTGGTCTAGTTGAATTCATACCTCTTCTGAATTCTAAACATTATATCCCATTCTTTTGGTCCATGAAGGGCAGCTAACAAAAGCAAAAAACTATTCCTATGAATGTTTATGAACTTCTCAATTCTGTCTAAAAACAGATCTTCCGTCATCAACAACTCTTGAGTGTCTGCCAATAAAAATGCAATACCTAGAGAAGAAATGAATTACAGCTTAAATTACTGGCTGCTTATTTCATGGTTTTAATAAATAAAGTTGAACTTTCTAGCTAAATAATCAGTAAACAGAGCTCAACTCCAGCATATATCTGATGGCACAAGAATACAAGATGTACAAGACTATAAGTCAGTTCTCATGCAGTAATGCAATTCCCATTGTGTTAATGTGCAAGCCATTTCAGAAGGAAATGATATCGCAAATTGACAGGCTTGCAATGGCATATTCACTGGTTTAAACTAGATTTGATCACTGAATATCTACCACTTGACCAAACCATAATTTAATGTTCTTTTCCAATTTAATACATGACTATGAAAGCTGGCAATTCACTTAAAGGGACACAGAGATGACCAAATGTCTTTGGAAGTAAATGCCTCAGAAAAACACTAGGCATTACGGAATTAATTTCTAGAAAAATGACGGGATCAATCAGGGAGCTGAGTAATTCTATTGCTAAGACCACCTAGAAAGGAAGAAAGAATTATATCTGAAACACATGAAGAATGAAGCCAGAGCTTCTGCTGTGGTAATTATGCTATTGTGCAACAAGAGGAAGACACAAAAACAGGCTCAGTGAAAAAATCTTTCTGTCAAATAAATACTCAGGGAAAATGTATGGGACTTTAATACAGGACTTGAGGCATTGGCCCAAGTAATCAGGGAAGGCTGAAGCTTCCATATGCCCAATGTGACATCTCATAGCAAAGGAATGATGCAGACTAAGGATAAGCAGTATTATATATTCTCAATGCCACTTTAAATTGTTTATAGAGCAGTTGTGTTTTGAATAACAACTCTAGAAATAGCCACACAGGGTTTCCATGTTTCTGTCTTGATCTATCAAATCTACTTGTTTAATCAAAATTTTAAAAGTTTCTTTCTAACTGCCAGCTCAACAACTCAGTTTAGAAGATGAAAGTCAAGCCGGTTTTCTTTTTCGTATGCACTGTCACTAGGAGTAAAGGTTTTCAGACTGAATTACACTTCAGTGACAGCTATGCAGTCCTATTTTGCCTCAATTAGGTTGCTCAGGTGTGACCATAATTTACTAAATAGTTCAGCAGATATACAGAAAGAACAATACAATTCAGTCACAGTAAAATATATGAGACGAGTGAAAATGAATGGTAGCAAAAAGTTATTTTAATCTCTGAATTCATTAAGTCTGTCCAGGCACTCACACTGCAGTTCTGTTTTGCAAGATAATATTTTTATATACTCCTTTTTTAGTGTACTTTCAGGCTCGTGTCTGTTTTGTGCAGGCCCTCCACTTCTCTCTCAGGGTTCCTCTTGACAGAGAAGAGCCTTTGCAACCTTAGCACATTCACTTCATCCACTCCAGACTGGATGGAGTTTCTACAATGTGGCTTTTATAGAAATTTCTTAGGTCTGAAAGATGGTTCTATCAGAGGGTCTGCTCCTACATCCCATTAGAATTTGAAAAGTTCCTTAAGAAATAAGTGCTGCAACTCCAAATTACTGTACCAGAAAGAGAGAAAATGAGGGATCCATTTTCCACTGAATCTGAGTATCGCACTCTATGATGCTGACTCTGAAGAGATGCTGCAATCTCATGATTCTAAATAATTAAAAACAATAAGAACATGCAACAATATCAACCAGAAAAAATTACGATTAAAACAGATCTGAATTATATCAGGCTTTTGGGATCTTTGTTTAGAAAATCTTTTTACTATGGTAGCAATGAAAACTTGGAACATGTTACTTTTGCATAGTTGAAAATCATATCTGATATTTTCATAATTGAGTAGCTACAGTAATGGAATAGGCATGAAATACCTGGATTACAAACTTTTTTTATCATTTCCTCCATTATTACTAATCTGCAATACGTTCGTTTTGCCATAGAAAACACTCACAGAATACATAAGGAAGCTTTTCAAACAAAGTTGCTCACAGTAAAATTTTCGTTCTTAAAGAATGATAGGATTTGTAGACAGCCAAAATGTATACCAGTATACTTGTTTGACTGAAGTTATCTAGGCTGAATTGTAATTCATTATCATGGATGTCAACATGTCACTTGGACAGCTGAGAGAGACTGGTTTGGATAAGCTTTCCATGCTTCATTGTAGAATGCATTCTGCACAGGGAAACATGAACATTGCCCCTTGCAACACAGAGATGTAACTAGCAAGTTTTACATCCTGGGCAAAAGCCTGCGGGAGGCAGGTGGTGCTGAACATCGGAGAAAAAGGGGCATGGGGGAAGTGTCACTGTTAAATAGTGGGGACTCAAAATCCCTGGCAACTGCACAAGCACCTGGGAACTCCCATTCTGATGCCCACTCTGCACCCATAGAGGGTTCCCTGCTTGCCCACCCCAAGTTACACTTCTGATATAACATGACTGTTGGAAGTTTAAAATTAATGGACTTCTGTACATTTTGCAACCTGAAGTAAGGGCAATGCTACAAGGTGGCATGATCTATTTGAAGAGTTAAACTGTCAAAAAACTTGGAACCTCTTCCTAACTTTGCTACTTTAAAGTCAGGAAAGTCTCTGTTGCTGTGTTTCCCCTCTGGTTAAGTACAGATAATGATCTTTATTTGCCTTTACAAAATGCTTTGATGAAAGGCAATATGAGTGCAAAGTATTATAATAAAAATAAATAAATTCACCAACAACAGGCTGCCAAACTGACAGCAAAAATAAAAAGAATCAAAAGAAAATCATAGAGAACATTTTCGGCATCACTTGTCATTACGACTTCATTTTATGCTGGACCGGCAAAAGTTAAGAAGATGAAATCATACAGGTATAATATAAGAAATACAGACTGCGTGTCAATGAAAGATAGGCCACTGGGTTGTCAGGTAGCCAAATGCCAGCAAGAGGCAACTGGACATTTTCATGGAAGTAATATTCTCATTTGTGACACATCCACAAGATCAGCTTCCAAGATACTACTTCAGTCTTGGGAAAAAACTGTCTGCTGTCCTGGCTCTTTGGTGATAGTGCAGATGTCCTATATAAGTACCATCACAGGTAAGAAATAAGGGTGGTTAAAGGAGGAAAAAGCAAAGCCTATAACAAATAAAATGATGTGATCCAAATCACTGTCTTCAGGACAGGAGAAGCTCCTTAGAGCTGCACTCCAGCTATTCCCAGCTGAGGGTTCCTAGAGAACCTTTACCAGCCCATGGGTTTTAGAACAGTTGTCTCTATGTTGCAGGGCTGACACCAAATTAGCCTAAGCATCAGGGAACTAAAAACAACCTCTTGGCAGACCCTCTCATTTTGCTGGGTAGAGAGAAGATATGGGCCTGTGACAAACAGAGGTAAATGTATACTTTGATCTCCTTGAGAGCCACAAAAAAATTGCAGTAAATTTTTAATCTCTCCTAGGAGCAATGCTGTATAAAAGAAGAGGAAGTCTTCAGGGAGGAGTCCAAAAAGGAAAGGACATCTTTGCTGAAATAATTGACAGTGATGATCAGTTAAAAATATCCACAAAGCAAAATCCATGGAGCAAAAGTAAGCATTCCTGAAGTACTGCATCTCACAACATCAAGTGGCAGGATACTGAGCAGGTACCAGGTATGAGGGGAATCAATACAGTAAGGAAAGTATGCAAAGAAACAAAATAGGTTTGCAGTGATTAAAGCAGGTTTACCAGATTGACACACTGTATTTTCCTGTATGCAGAATATACTTTTGCATTGCATAAAATCTTTCATGTTAAAAAATATGTGCAACATTTGACACTTAATTCAGTGTTTGTTAGTGAGTCAGATGCTGCAGTTGACTAATAACTGGCACGGTACCTGGAGAGCTGTGCTCATAATAACTGTTGTGATCCATCTTGCTTTTTCCTGCCCACCACTTTCTGCCATTTTCACAGGGGTTGAATGTTCTGCTACAGAGCCACAGCTGCTGAGTCCTTCTGAAAGACTTAAAAAAAACTAGCAAGGAAGTCAAAATATCAGGCACAAACTGTATGTGATCAGGGCACACAAAGTGTTACAGGATCCAACTGAAATCAGGGCCTAGACCCAAATCCTCAAAAAACTTGGATTAGGGTGACCATATTTCCCTAAGTCTCAAAATCAGACTCACTGCTTCCCTCCCCTACTCTGCCACACTTAGCTGTCTGCCAGCGATGGTCTCGGCTGAGCACCAAAAAGCAGGGGTGGGCTGATGAGCAGACTGCTGGAGAGTTGAGGGAGCAGGAGGGGAGTACAGGGTGCTAAGATATCCTGGAGAACCAGCAATCCCCATCACATCCCCTGTCTAGACAGCACCACCAAAAAATGAACAGGACAAAAGCAGTCATTTGACCAAACTGACAAGACACTTGGGACAGGTGCTTACAATGGTACTGTCCCTGTGAAAACCCAAACTGGATTCTTAAATCCAATTGATTTCAATAGAATTAAACACTTCAGACCTGCCACCTCTGAGGATCTGGGGCTAAGTGAACTTCCTTAACCTGGGGTGTCAGGGAACAAGAGGCCATCAGGAAACATGTTCAAGAGAAAGACTGAAAATTTGGAGGTAAATTTACAAAAGTGCCTACATGACTTGGGAGCCATTTTGAAAGGTCACTTTTGCCATTATGTGTCTTTTTCATGATGGTGCTTTTGAAGGTATTACCTCAGCTCTGATACAGCACACTGAGCTCGAGCCTGACTCACAACCCTTAGACGTATCGCTTTCAGAGATCATTCTAGATACAAGAATATGTCAAGGGAGGCACTAAGCAGCTGAGGGGTGGGGGTGGGGAGAATTTAAGGTCCTAGACAGCCTCCTCAGGCTCTGCTGACTGGTTCCCTGTGGCACCTTGGCCAAATCACTCAGTTACCCACTTGCAAAAAAAAAAAAAAGGGGTTGAAAAATGCTGCCTTCCTCACAGAAGACTGGATTTGTTACAACTTGTTGTGCTATGAGGTCCTAAATGAGTCCTGGTGTTAAGTTCCCTTTGAGGAAGTTTTCCTTTCTGCTTTCCTCTGTTCTGGAGGCCATGCACAGGCCTGCTAAGGACACAGGCCAGGTGCTGACTTGTAGGCACCAGCGCATGCGGCTTCCTGCTCTTCTCCTCTCAGAAGTCACTTCAGAGGTGGGACTTGGGGGTGTCGGCAGCTCTGTCCTGCAACTTGGGCAGCACTACCCCGTGTCGCAGTCTCACCCTCTGAGCAATAGCTGCCCACAGATATGCCAAGGAGAAGCGGAGGAAGGGGACCACTGAGAAACTGGGGACTTCTAGCTTATTCAGTCACTTACTGAACTCTTTCTGCCCCTTTGAAAGCCTTAGAAGTACCAAAATCCTTGTGGTGACCAGTGGCTTTAGGGGAAATTGTTTACACACTGACCAGGCAGTGCTTGGGCCTATGCTTATGAGGGCTCCTGCCTCTTTTGTGTAAGAGCAAATGCCACTTGGGCCAGGTCTTAGGCAGACTTGAAGCTTTTGGTGTAAGCAACCTGCCTCATTCAAACCCAGCTTCTCTCAGCAGTATAGGAAGCTAAAAAAAATAAATATTGCAGGTCTTTTACAGCCAAGAAATAATTTATGTTGCCGTTATGTGAATTGGGAAGATGGTGGAGCTCAAGACCACAGCTGCCTTCTCCGCACCTGTTCCTGGCTGTAGCCACACGTCTTCTCTTTTACATTGCTTTGAGACTTGTGGGGATAGGGGCTCTCACTGAGATGCCGCTGAAAATCCTGTGGCTTTGGACATTTTCCTAAGAAGTCCTTGCCTCTCACATATAAAAAATTAGACATCTACCTATACAGTTACTGCTGTCATAGAGTGTACCAAACGTTATCCATGGCCATTTATGTAGGCAAGATTTATATAGACAATAAAAAGATTTTAAAGCAAGAGGCAGAACCTTTTCTGAAGTGGTGGTGGCACAGTACATTTTTTGGTATGAATTACATGATGAGAATCAGTGATTTGTAAAAGCAAGTAAGCTTTAGCATGAAGGGCCATCATGACACCTTACTTGATAAAAGCAAATTTTTCTCCCCCCTCCTCACTTTTTTTTTTTGCAGGAGGAAGTAGAATCACCTTGGATTGTCTGTTTCTATCAAATCAGATGCACCAGAACATACTTGTTAGTGCTGAAGGTGGCTAGAATTTGTAGTCTGTCTTTACAAGCAAGTCCAGTTCATATTTTTGTATTACATAATTTTCAAGTCTTTAAAATATTTTATATCCCATGCAGATTAATATATATAAATCAAAATAATGGAGAACAAATGCTTTTCTCCTTCTGTGTACTGCAGCTACATTCCAATGCTTTCTCTACAGGGTGGGTAGGATGCCACCAAGAAAATGCTAAATAATGCACCCACTCATATAATAGAACCTGTGGGCCTGTCCAGATGAGTGCAGACATGTGGTATGTGGCGCCACAGACCCATCTGTGGCACCACACACCACACATACGAGCATTCCCTGAGCTGCTACTTTGCAGCATGGGGGAGGGGGGTTGACCCCAGGAGATCTCGGGGTCAAAAAAACCCATGCCAAAAAGAAGTGGGGAGATGTTTGTGGTGGCAGTGTCCAGTGCCAAAAACCAGAGTCTGGCTGGCTGGAGTCATGCTCAGGCTGCGAGCCAGGCTTCCTGCTGCAGAAGCATCATGCCTGCAGCTCCCAGATACCCTCAGACCCCAGATAAGGCTGCTGAGGCCAGCACAGTTGCTGGCCCCAGCCTCACCTATCCTACCCTGGGTAACCAGAGCATGCATGTCACAGACTTTCCCAGGGGACAAGCTGCTTCAGCTTGTCTCTTGTGGAAACACATGTTCTCGCTCGTCTGGATGCGCCCTCTGTGTCTTTTCTCATTCCTTGATGTAGTAATCACCGTTGGGAATAGCACCAGGGGTAGTCTTAGGTGTATTGTAGAATAATGAAGGCAATTTTATGACAGGTTGAAAATCCAGTGGATTATTTATGTGCTAAAATAGTGCTGTTTTGGATTTTAGAGTATATGCAGACTAGTTCTTAAATTAAACTAAAAGCAGATCAGTGGCACCATATTGGGAGTGCACAGTAGTGATTGTTTTGGTGTAGATAATCTGCCAGATTTGTAACTCTGGGCTGATTCTGAACTCAGATTTTGGAACTTGTCTAACACAAATATGCATTAAATGAGAGAGATCAGCTCCTGTGGTGAATCCCAACAAATCACAGGGTAGACTTATTAACAGGTAACTGAAGGAACTGATATCTTACTTCATTTCTGGAATACTACTACAAATGTTTGTTTAATTTATCTTTGTGTATCACAAAGAAATCATAGGCTTCATCTCTGAAAACCAGGTGCCACCAATAAAATACCCAACAGCGTGTGTCCAACATTGAAGAGTTTTTGCCTTGGACCTTAGCATGTATACCACTATGGCAAAGGGCTGGTTGCATTTACGTTATATATAAAAAATGGTAAAGCTGGAATATACTATAGGCTAAGAATGCCTACTTGAGAAGTGATGACATGCAATGGGTAGAGCACTAGCATGGCTATCAGAAGACCAACATTCTGTTCTCAGCTTTGCCATTACTTTGCTTTCTGCACTTTGGCAAGGCATTTAAATTCTATAGTCAATATCCATAGCTGTATAAAAGAGGATGATGAAATTTAACTACTCCTGTAGAGTGCTTTGAGATCCACATATGAAAATACCCAGCAGAAGTTGGTTTGCTTCAGGAACTCAGCACTAATTATTATATTTCAATTTGCATTAATGGCATGTGTTAGAATCTCTCTCAGGTGCCAAAATGTTATAATGAAAAATTAATTGTATATATTACTGCCTGCTATGTTATTGGATTATACTTCAAATCTGAAGCATGAAAATCAATGAAAATACATTAGGTAAGCAGTATTAGACTTCCAGAGTCAATGAAAAAATGGCATGCAGTACAAGAATAGGTTGAAATCTCTTGGGAGAGGCTAGGCTATGCCATTTCATTAGAGAATACAAGCACTACTAGGATGCTGTTTTTTCAGATTCTAAGCTCTGTAATGGCTGTAATGTAAAGGCAAATATCTTTAAAAATTGTAGCAAATACACCATTTTTAAAAAGGAAATGGTTAAAGAAGAGAACTCATAGTTCACTCTAGTGTTCAGTGTTTTGTCTCTACTTTTGAATTCTCAGGGTCCCTGGTCTTATTGTTGAAATATGTTGCACCAAAAAAAAACACAGAACAGTACACAAGGTATACAGATTTGCCCAGGTAAAACATCAAAGTTAGACCAGGGATCTCAATATCTCCCTCCTGTTGTTTTCATTGTGACCTTGGTTAGCAACCTCTTTGTCTTATATATGCATCGTGAACACTAACTAGTTCACAGTCTTGTCTCAAAGCATTAAGTAATGTTGTTAAATGACTACACTGCTGACACTTGCATGTTTCTATTTCTTCTTAAAACTTTATGCATTGATACGCTGCAGCTGTACTTGAGCCAGATGCAACTGTTTTTGTTGCATATGGTACCCAAGAATACCCCTCATTTAATTCCTCGCCAATTCATTCATTTTTACAGTATTAAACCTCCCCCATATATGTATAAGAATCTAAACTCATGGGTTCTGTTCTATAATAATAATAAATGCCAATAAGCCATCTTTAAAAAAAAAAAAAGAAATATAAGTTGAAAGCACTTTGAATTAACTTGCTGGAGAAAAGTATTTTAAATCACCGGAAACATATTATTGCTAACCCTAAGATAATTCTGTTCTTTCCTCTTCCTCTACTGAGAAGATATTTTTTTAAAATTCAAAACTAGTTTAGATTGTGCAATTACATTTTAGTAAAAAGAATGACTGAGCTCTAGGTCCAATCTAGGTTTCTCTGAAATGCTCTT